AAATTCCAATGAATTTTTTCACAAAGACAGAAATTGTAAGATTCATATAGGAACACACACACACACACACACTCTCACTCTCTCTCTCTCTCTCTCTCTCTCAAATTGCAAAAGGCAAACTGAAACAAGAGTACAGCTGGAGGCATCGCACTACCTGGCAGAGATGGAGGTTATACAGGGGCTCACCAATAGGGGCGGCCATCCACCAAGGCTGACCTGGCTGTTGCAGCTGCTGAGAGCCAGATGTGCCAGAGGCAGAGACCAACAGCGACTCTTGATAAGGCACCATTCCGAAAGGCAACCAGCCAGCCGCTTGGCTTACAGTTCAAAGGTTTAGTTCATTATAGTTATAGCAGGAAGCAAGGAGCATGCAGGCAGACAGGCTGCCTGGAGCAGGTCCTGGAGAAGGAGCTGAGAGTACTTAATATCTTGACTCACAGGCAGCAGGAAGTGAGTTGAGACACTGGGCAGTAACTTGAGCATATATGAGACCTCAAAGCCTGTTTCCACAGTGACACACTTCCTCCAACAAGACCACACCTACTCCAACAAGGCCACTCCTAATAGTGCCACTCCCTTTGGGGGAACATTTTTTTTTCTTCAAACCACCACACTGACTTAAAAACCGACAACAAAGCTATACAGACCAAACCAGAATGGCACTGATCAAAACAGGCCATGGAATAGAACAGGGACCCAAATTAAGCCAAACATTTATGATCAACTGATTTTCACAAGAACACACAACTGAAAAAAAGGATAGTTTCTTCAACAACTGGTATTAAAGAGCTCACACACCATGCATGAAAAACAATGCAACATGGACAGAACACTCATATGCAAGAGCTGAAACCTTAAAACCACCAGAAAAAGAAAACACAGGAGAAGAACTTTTGGCAGTGGTATGAACAATGATTTTCCTGGAAATGACCCCAGAAGTACAAGCACCAGAGCAGAAATAGCAAATGTACTTGAAGGAAAAGCTTCTGCACAGAATGAATCTGTCAGCAGGGGTAAGAGACACCCTGTGGAATGGAGATGTTTACAGACTGTCTATCTGATAGCATGTTAATAGCCAAATCTATAACGAACCACAATGCAACAGTAAGAAAGCAAATAACTCCATTTTCAGAAATAGACAAAGAAGCTGTGCGGTGGTGGCGCATGCCTGTAGACAAAGTTTCTGTCCCACTGGGGCCCCACAGCCACTTGGTCCCAAATAAACACAAAGAGACTTTTATTAATTAGAAATTGTTTGTCCTATGGCTTAGGCTTCTTATTGGCTAGCTCTCTTTTAATTATTAACCCATTTCTATTAATCTAAGTATTTCCACATGGTCTTATCTTACTGGAGAATCTTGCTCCCTCAGTAGCTACATGGTGTTTCCTTCGAGACCTCTCTCTGCCTCCTCTTGCCAGAATTCTCTTGGTCTCGTAGCCCCGTCTATATTTCCTGCCTGGCTACTGGCCAATCAGTGTTTTATTCATCACCAATATCAGAAACATATATACAGAAGGGCATCCATCATCACATGACTTTAATCCCAGCACTCAGGAGGATCTCTATGATTTTGAGGCCAGCTTGGTCTACAGACTGAGTTCCAGGACAGCCAGGGCTACACAGAGAAACCCTGTCTAAAAAAAAAAAAAAAAAAAAGAAAAGAAAGAAAATGAAATGGAGAAAGGGCCTGAACAGATAATTATCCATAGAAGACACAGAAATGGAATGGATACCTGGGGGAAAATGTTTAACATCATTTATCACAAAGAAAATGCAAATTAAAACAGAATGAGATCCCATCTCACATCCATTGGAAGATCATTGTTATTAGATCAAAAATAATTCAAGAATTAGCATGAACGTACAGAAAAGCCAGTCCATTTGTATTGTTGGTAGAAATGTAAGTTAATAGAGCCACTTGGAAAAAATAGTATAGAAATAAAAAAAAAGAAAAGTGTGACTACTTTAATAGCTAGTGGTTCCTCTTCTGGTTGCACAGTCAAAGAAAGTGGCATCAAGTGGAAGAGGCATCTGCACCTTTTTGTTCACTATAGCATTACCACCAACCAGGATACAGAACCAACATCAGTCTCTACAAACCACAACTGGATAAATAAAATACCATACATACATACATACATATATATTTATATATACATACATACATACAAGGGAAAATCTAACCTTATGAAAGAGGAAATATGTCACTTTTGACAACATGGATGAATCCAGAGGACACCAATAAATGAACTAAGTCAGGCACAGAAAGACAAATACTATATGATCTCACTTTCATTTGTAATATAAAAAAAATCCAATTTGGGTAGAGGCCATGCAGTTTGAGAGAAAGCAAGGAGGGTGTGTGTGTGTGTGTGTGTGTGTGTGTGTGTGTGGTGTGTGTGTAGTAGGAGGGAGGTCAAGGAAAAGGGAAAATAATGTAACTGTAGCTTAATTTTTTAAATAAAAAAATTCAAATTAAAAAATTGAATAAAATAATAGTTATCAGAGGTGGGGATGGGAGGACTGGAAAGGTGTTGCTCAAAGTCACAGAAACAGATTTCCCGTACATTAAGGTGACTATGGTTAATAAAAATAATACACTCTTGAGAAGGAAGAGCCTAGAATTTGTATTCTTTCCATCCCCCAAAGGCATGTGGGGCAGCCTGAATGGGATACAGACTGATTTACATATTCCATAGAGGGTACAAGAGTCAAGGCAGTATATTTCACTATAAAGACATGCATTTAACTTGTCAAAATGAACCTGTAAGAAAGAGAAAAGGCAATATACTAACACTAAACTTTTTTCTAAATTTGAAGGAAACACTAGAGGACACTGATCGACTGTGGGGAAAGTTGAGAACACAGAGGTGGGGGTTGAAAGTATGGATCATAAGGCACTAACAGACGATGAAACTCGTGATCTTGGATACTAGTTGTCAGGAGGTGACACCCATTCTCCAGACAGTGAGAACTGGAGGGCCTATGCCCCACAGCAGCTTATATCAAATCGCTTTCCTAGCCCTGTGTGATAGTTTTGTAGAACTCAGTATTGCAACAGCACAACTGGAGGCAATCAACATTTGCTTCTTTTTGCTATATAGTCTAAAATAGAGTAAAAAGAAAGGGTGTTATGAACTTGAAAGGTGACAATCGTGGCATACTGGTTATTCTATCAGTGCTTTTTTTTTTTAATTTCTTGTTTCATCTATACTTAGTATTTTATTTTTTCCCCAGAATTTTTTTATTTGAATTAGAAACAAGATTGTTTTACATGGCAATCCCAGTTCCCTTCTCCCTCTCATTCTCCCCTTCTACCCCCCCCAACTAAAACTCTACCTATCACATATCTTTTTTGCTCCCCCTGGATGGTGATGCCTTCCATAGGGTGTCGTCAGAGTCTATCATACCCTTTGGGATAGGGCCTAGGCCCACCCCTGTGTGTCTTGGCTCAGGGAGTATTCCTCTATGTGGAATGGGCTCCCAAAGTCCACACCTATGCTAGCGATAAGTACTGAACTACTACAGCAGGTCCCGTAGATTTCCGAGGTTTCTTCACTGAAACCCATGTTCCTGGGGTCTGGAGCAGTCCCATGCTGGTATCCTAGCTATCAGTCTGGGGACCAAGAGTTCCCTGATGTTCAGGTCAGCTGTTTCTGTCAGTTTCACCATCCTGGTCTGGACCCCTTTGCTCTTCACTTGTCCTTCTCTGCGTCTGGATTCCAGTTCAGTTTAGTGGTTAGTTGTTCTACCAGTGCTTCTATTTAGAGAAGCAACGGTATAAGAGAGACCAGATTGAAAACATGGCTTGGCAGCTGAGAACACTCATACTTGCAAAGGAACCAGAATTGACGGCCAGCATCCACATGGTGGCTCATAACTGTCCATAGCAACAGTTCTAGGGGATCTCATGCCCTCTTCTGACCCATGTAGGCATCAGACATGCATGTAGTGGACAGACAAACATGTGAGACCCTCACACACATAAAATAAAAGTAAATCTTAAATTTCTGAAAAGACCAAAACAAATGAGAGAGAGAGAGAGAGAGAGAGAGAGAGAGAGAGAGAGAGACTCCTCACTATATCATTAGTGATTACATTTGGAGGAAACGCTAAAGACATTGTGATGAAGAAATAAAAACAACAGTTGGGACTATCAATGTTACTCAGAGGCAGAGTGCATGCCTACCCCATTCAAGACCTTACTCAGAATCCACAACTTTATAAACAGCTCGAATTTTACACAAATGACAAGTCTCCTATCTGCAAGCAATCCTGATTAACAGTTACATATCTAACTTTGTTAAGGGTTTGCCTTGTATAAGACAATATAAGATAACATTGCATTGATTCAGCTGGGACTAATCTAGAAATCTCTTCTATTTCCTTTCTTAAATTCAGTTTCAATATATATTCTCCATTTTCCTCCTCATCCAAAAAAAAAAAAAAAAAAAAAAAACCCAAACCAAACCAAATAAAAACCTTTCTCAAAGATCAGGCGGGGGTCCTGAACCTGGCACCTAATTCTTAATTATGTGTTTAATTTTTACTGCACAGGTTATCCAGACATTTGCAGAAGGGTATTTTTTTTTTTTAAAAAATGTATTTCTAGGCTTCCTCCCTGAACCACTTTGGCTCAAAGAATGCAAAGTAATTTAATATAAACACAAACATATACTTAAAATATAAAACTCTGGAGTAGGAAAATGAAAAACTTTAAAATAAAAAATTCAACTGTGAAATTATTTGTGTTTCTCATAATTATAAAAAACTTTATTGAGCTCACAGAAACGCCTAGAATATGAATTCAGTTGAGGGGTACAGGACTGATGGTAACAGAATAGAAGAGACGCCAAGGTGTCTTAACACAATTGGAGAAGGTCTTGGCAATGTGAATAAATGAAAGCTGTAATTTTTGCTTCGCTCTGTTAACCTGAAAGGTGGAAGATGACTTCTCGACTACTCCATAAACTCGTAGTAGCACAGGACCTGGACCTACCTCCTCACAAACTGTGGAAAACCGGTTGAGAAACTGCACCGTGTGCACCACAAACTGGTTTAGAAAGGCCACGGTCCTTTTCTGTTGAATAGCTGGCACCTGTGTTACATAAAAACAAGCAAATATGATTCTTACAGGAGAGACATACACTGTGCAATCCTCTCGATATCTGTTTCGTAAAGACTATGATTTTGCCCTGTGACATGAATTTCATGGAGGGCTGAGAACAGTCCCTGACTTGTTTTCCTGAACCGTGTGTGTGTCAAAGTGAGAGGGGCTGCAAAAGTTTGAGAGTGTGCTACACACACACACACACACACACACACACACAAGGGAGGGAGCAAGGGAGGAGGAGAGAGGAGAGAGGGAGAGAGGAGAGAGACAGAGAGGGAGAGGAGGAGGGGGAAAAAGAGAAAGAGAGAGAGACTACAAACACACACACACACACACACACACACACACACACACACACAGAGAGAGAGAGAGAGAGAGAGAGAGAGAGAGAGAGAGAGAGAGAGAGAGATTGAGGATCAGAGAGGTAGTGTTAGAAGTGGCACTATTTCCAGACTGTCAGCCTTGGCTCAGAGTCACATGATGTGGGGAGCGAAGGCTGCGAGGCACATCAACTCTTTAATTAGCTCAGGAGGGAACCCTTCGAAAGTGGACTGCGGGGCTCCCCCTTCCCTAGGCTAGCAAAAAGGGGCCCGGGTTGGGCCTGGAGAGGTGGTGTCTCCCGGGGAACCGGGGCCCCTTGGCCAAGCTACTTCCCTGTTCGCCGGAAGCTTAAGTCATCTTTTACAAACCTTGGTCAGGTCTATGCCTGACCCCATAAGAGGAAGCCCATCCTCATCCATCTCCACAGCAGATGGGGACACCGGGGCTCAGGCACAAGCCCCTCACAGCCCGGTAGAAAACCCCGACTCCCCTTCCCAAGTTCCTGCCTCCGGGGCCTTTCCGGAAGAAAGATACCGAGCCCACCAATCAATCAGTGGCTTCAGAGAGTCCGCCCCTTCACTCTCGCTCAGCATTCTGGGATTGGTAGTTCAAGGAGCTGATTGTAAAGCGGGCCTGAGAATCACTGCTGAAGAGCTGATGCTATTTTAGGGGGGGGGGGGGGGACCTCTGCCTCCAAAGAATAGTGAAGACATGCAGAATCTTGATGTGCAAAATTTAGGTGAAAGTTGTGGCACTGTAAATTAACATATACAAACCCTTGTGTCTCCATGGGTACATGCACCCACATGGACTCAAAGCACTGTGGTGCTGTAGACGATAGGCGCTTCTAAGTTGTCCAAGCAAAGAAGAGGAAACCAGCTTTAGTAGCTACTTAACTTTAAGAAGAGCTAAGATGACAATCTGACCGGGCTGTGGTGGCGCATGCCTTTAATACCAACACTCTGGAGGCAGAAGCAGGTGGAGCTCTGTGAGTTCGAGGCCAGCCTGGTCTACTGACTGAGCTCCAAGACAGCCTCCAAAGCTACAGAGAAACCCTGTTTTGAAATTCACCCCCATCCCCACCCCCAAATGACAATCTGGAGCCAGGCACTGGTGGTGCACGCCTTTAGTTCCAGCACTCGGGAGGCTCTGTGAGTTCGAAGCCAGCCTGGTCTACAGCGCAAGTTCCAGGACAGGCTCCAAAGCTACAGAGAAACCCTTATCTCAAAAAAACAAACAAAACACCAACAGCAACAAAACACGACAATCTGGAATGAGGAGTATAGTATGGAGGGCAAAGGGAAAGCTGTTTGGTGGTATTAGCAGAGATAGGGAATAATGAGAAATAAGACGGAAATAGACACAAAGAGCTGATGAAGGACCTTTTATACCAGAATAAGAGCCATGTTTTTCTAAATGGGATTCATGGGCCG